GTTCCCCCTTTGGACCCCACCTTCCCTCCACCCTCCAGGTATCGCCGCTCTCACCACTTGCCCAGTTATTTTTAAAACATGTCCTATAAGCCTTGTGGTTAGTCCTAAATGCTCAATTAGGACTCTCAGAGCAACCCCTTCCCTTTCATATGCATATGATTGAAAAGACATATTAAGGTTTGGGAGGCCTAGAACTGGAGGAATTCTCAGGACCACCCTGGGAACCTCATAAAGCGACTTTACTGGAAGCCCTTCATTGGCCATCCACATGGGACAAAACAAAGCCATTCCCAGGAACTCTCTCAACTACCATTTCGTTTTAGGTTCAAGCAAGTCTATAATTAACTGAAACCTGAATAAACTGTGTGTACCACCCAGAGATTATGATGGTTGGATAAGGGCACCTTCATTTTTTTCTATAGAAAGTAAAGCTTGGTCTTACAGATAAAATCAGGGTCAAACTTATGCACCGAGTAAAGCTTGGAGGAGATGGAAGTGGAGGTGGGGGTAGCAGTGAAGAAAGGTGAGCTTCAGCAAAGGCTGAGATTCTAAGGATCTGACTGAAGAAATGCTTCGTTCAAGTATTGTTTCAAATGCTGACTAAACATGGTTGCTTCATTAATAAAGGTTTCTAAATACTCTAAAATCACAATATCAATTATATGAATTCAATTTTATTAATTGTATCTAATCTATGAGTAGGAGGACTGCTAACCACAAGGTCAACAGTTTGAAACCACCAGCTGCTCCTTGGAAGAAAGGCAAGATTTTCTCCTCCTGAAAAGAGTTACGGTCTTGACAACTCACAGAGGCAGGTCTACCCTGTCCTATCGGGTCTCTATGAGTCAGAATGAACTCAATGGGAGTTAGTTTTGAAAGTCAATGATTATAATATTATAATTTGCTGTGCTTAAAGGATTGTTTAGCATCAAGATGTTTATGGAAGAAGGTTTGAATTTGCTGCCAGGCATCCACCTGTGCTCTTCCATGAGCCCTTCGCTCACCTCCATAGAACACTGGTAGGCCCAAAACTGGATGCACTGAGGCTATGTGAGCAGGAAAATAAGGTGGGTCAATATAATGACCAGCTCCTGGGTAGCAGATTATCTGGGGTCTGTCTTTTCCATGGGCCTGTAACCGGTCAGAGGCTATACGAGCATAGAACTCACTCTTCCAGTTACAGTCATCCTTGCCAACAATAAACAAGAAGGGCCCTTGAGCTTTTTCCAGTGGTATGAAACTTTGGTGGTTAGGCTTTTCCAGTGGGTTATTCCAAATATGCAAACCCTCCAGAAAGCCTGAATCAGTGACTGTACATTTGCTTAGGTCACTGCCAAGAGAAGGAATAGTCATTTCCTTGTAATGCAGAGCAGTCATTGAATTTGCCACACAGGAATTGATAAGTACAGTGGCTGTGATGCCCTTTAAGAAGGAGGCCATGGAGAGACACAGGTCACCGCCTTTGGAGAAGCCAATAAGTCCAATATTAGGGCCTCTCACCTGACAAAAACAGAAAGAGAACATCATAGCATCTATAAGTCAGAGACAAAATGATGTTATATTTACCAAATAACTTTCTCATGTCATTTCCTTAGATATTAATTAGATATTATAAAGCTCAGATATAGCTTCTAACTAAAAAAAAATTACAACCAATGGTAGTTGATTTGCATACGGGCTCTCTCTAATGTTCATGAGGTCTGGGTCAAGAGTAAACACATGAAGGTCTATATATATATCTTAATATTTAAAAACAACAAGCCAAATGCACAAACTGTTCAGTGGAAATATATTCTATTTCCTACATTGTAGATATACCTTTGTAACAATGAAGAATGGCTTGATTTTAAACTCTT